TATAACTCCAATGACCTTCCCTTGATCCTCCTATGCTGTTGATAGGGGAGTGCTATAACTCCAATGACCTTCCCTTGATCCTCCTATGCTGTTGATAGGGGAGTGCTATAACTCCAATGACCTTCCCTTGATCCTCCTATGCTGTTGATAGGGGAGTGATATAACTCCAATGACCTTCCCTTGATCCTCCTATGCTGTTGATAGGGGAGTGATATAACCCCGATGACCTCCCCTTGATCCTCCTGTGCTGTTGATAAAAGCCACTAAAACCTCTGTTTACTTTACCAGGTTTGAAATCCCTCTGGATGTTAAGGTTGAATAGAAGACATCTGTTCTTTGATTTTCCTATATAAAGATCGAACAGTGTACTGCACTTCACTTTGATTCGCTATTTCTTATGGTGATTATAGACAATTTTTGGTAGATTTTTTTTGTGGTGTTTTCTTTACCGTTTTAGTGGCTTTTGATCCATTCAATACTCGGAGGCTACAAACAACAAAAACGTCAGATACGAAAACTGTGCACCCATTATTTGTATATAAACAACGGATTTAGCGATTTTCAATATGAAAATGGAGCACTGTGCAAAGATACTATTTTTGAAGACCATTTAGTAAATGTGAGACAATCTCAGAAAGGCGAGGGATTCCCAGTCTATTTATAGAACGCTTCCTACGCATAAATGTTGTTTCAACATACTAGGCTTGCCTTGGATTCTTAGAACTATTTTTACACGTGTAGGTTTGGATGATAATTATAGTACTTGTTCTTCGATTTCAGCCTAGCTCTATATACATAATCATCTAGTCGGTACAAATATTTAGGGTAAGTTCTCAATAACGATAATGGACAAAACATACATAATGTATTGATAAAGTTAAAATTCTCCAAATACTTTCAACTCTTAGGAAACTGAGCCTAGAAGTCATTAGATAATTTGGAGTGTTGCACATCAAGATCTATGCACAGTCTCAACATATACACTCTAACCAGTTATATAGAGTACACTGTTAGAAATGTATTTCTCGTCTGCTGAAAGGCCAAACGATTTTTCAAATACGGATACCTCAAATGAAATTTATTCGACAGTTTTTAATGCACTGTACTGGTATTCTAACTGAGGACCTATTCCGAGTAAAATTTGGAAACTCCTGTGATTATCCCGATAAGAATTGTTTTGTTTGTAGGTACCTCATATTACTCTGTTTCCAGTTACTCACCTGGTTATCTGTTTACTGTCTTATTTACAGCGGAAAGCAGACTGCCAACATGTCATGGTCAGAAATCCTCACACTTCCGTTTACGGCCGGAAATCAATATACATCAACGAATGGACGAACACACCATGACGGTTCTATTTCTACTGTTGTGGTCGTCACTTCCGTTTTGGCATTCATAACAGTCTTGATGTCTCTGCAGGAAAACACTCCATCCGGTCACGTGATACTTGATCCAATGGTCATGAGGTTATCTCTCACGGTCATTGTTGTTGCTGGTATATGCTCGACTATATACCTCGCAAAACTTGCTAAGAGACAATCCCCAATCACTGCATGCCGAAAACCGTCAGCTTGTTTCCGTCTACTTCAAATAGGATGTCTTTGGCTGTTCGGCCTAGGAGTAGTGATGATATGCCTATTCGAAACCACCCGCCTTATCTTTTGCGATTCGGAAATAACCCGAGTACTTCCGAGTCAGGAGTTAGGTGTAAACATTGTATATCACGTCACTAGGATAGTTTTAGTCGTCATTGAAGTATGTTTCATAACCTGCTTTACCTTTGTGAAGTTTGATCATTGCCTCTCCACATACTATGCCTTGTTGTTCATCGTACTGGCCAACACCTCGGTCTGGATATATTACTACCTGGCGTTGGAGGATGTGTCATCATTCAGACTACTCCACAATTACAATGCTACTGCCCCTCCGGGAAATAGTACCAACAAGACATGTTATCAAAACTCTACCATCGGACTCCTTACAGGTCAAGTCAACAAGATTCTATATCCAGTTAACACAGAGTTTTCTTTACTTGTCTTGAAGTTTGTTTTGGAAATGTGGAGTTTGGAGCGAACGGAAGCATCAAATGTCAATCATATAACTAGTGTGATGGGGATTACAGAGACCGGCTCAACAGACCAACCGACGTCAGGGGAAGAGCAGGAACATTTGAACGAGAGATCAAGTTTGCTGAACACAAATTGGGAATACAGAATCCATAACAGCCAGGAGTATACATCTCTCGACAACGCTTGTCCCATTTCTTTCTACGTCGCAATAGCTGTCGCAATTTCCTGGGTTCTACCTCTAGCAATTATGTATATAATGCTTGAGTATCGCTTCCCTGATAGCCATGAATTCTACAGGATCATAGCGGCATATGAGGTGGCGTACAGAGTAGTAATGACCGCTGCTGTCACCTGTACCTGGGTTTACCTCCAGAAGGATGGCAGGCCCGTCACAGACCACATAAGTCTGAAGAGTAAGGATTATATTCTGCTGCTCGGTACATTCGGGGCGGCTATTTACTTCATCCACGTCTTAATCGCGGGTTCATTGACAAAAAACAACAATGGAAAAACAGATATCATATCAAATGTTATAAGCATGGTTTTTCTTTATTTACAAACCACTCTCTTGTTGCAGACTAGAAAGTTCGTTCCTAAACGGAAGAACATTCGGAACTTTCCAAGTTTTAGGTCGCTGTGCACTGTTCTTTCCATTCTGAACTTCGGGTATTGGATTACTGACAGTTTTGTCGGCATGAAATTTCCTGCTGCCTCTTCGCCCAAAGTCGAGGCGTTTGGTAGTAAATATTGGACGCTTGTCATGCAGTATGCCTTCCCACTGGTGATTTTCTACAGATTAGAGTCTGGGTTTGCTTTTTTAAGACTCTACGGGGACTTTTTTGGTGACGATCTTATCCAATAAAGTATTGTGTGTCCGCCCACGATGATGTATTATATTTCCCCCTAAATAACGTACTGTTTTCGTCCCTCCAAGTAACTCCCTGTGTTCTTCACTCACGACATTGCGGCGTGTTAGTCTATCCCTGTAACGCACTGTTTATGTCGAATATTATCGAATCATTGGCTCAGTATGTGTTAACAATCAACATAATAAACAACATGAAAATCCGGCTTATCACTTGTTTACTTTTTACCATACACAGAGTCGATAGCCAGTCACCAGATTCCTCATTTGGTCCGTCTATGTAGTGTCCGTGTCGGACGTATTCCTGAGAGGACTCTGTTTTAACTCATTTTAACCCTCACGCTGAAAACAGGTTGTTTATGTAACTCTCTCTCCCCCCCCCCTC